GATGCCAGGAAACTAAGTAGCCCATTGTCCCTGTCCTTTGTTCCTTCCTCTGCCACTTCCTACCATTATACTGTCCTGCTTTTCTTATCCCCCAGAGCGGAAACTGTGCTGCCCTCTCCCAAGGAGGCAAAGTGTAGATTTTTCTTTTCTGGCTCAAAAATAGAAAACAGAACAAAACTCAATGTTTCTTCAACTGCCCAAGGTATTGTGGTGTCTGTGGCAGGGGTGGTGGTACATACATATTGAGGAGTAGCAGAATAGTACTAACTGACCAAACAGAAACAGAAGGAAGTCTGGGATCTTTAGAAGCATCAGAGGGCGACAAGGCACAGAGGACACGTGGAGTTAAATGTAATATTTGTCTTTCCTGTGTGTCAGTGACGTAAGCGAGAAGCATTAGCCACGTAGAAGGGAAAGTTGCCAACAAATCTACATAACAAAAATATACATAAAAATAATAGTAATTCAAACTTTATGTAAACTACTTTAACTTTTTTCTAGTTACCATGATGGATATAATGCACATACAAAGCACTAAATGTCACAGCAATTCTTTACAAGTTTTTTTTTTTTAATTTCAGAAGTGAGTTTTGAAATTTTTGGTCAACGCCTGTAGTAACACCACTGAACATCATATTGATGAATATATGGGTGTGTGTGGCAGGCTTAATTTTACTCTCCAATATTTAGGAATCGGGATTTCTAGAAAAGAAACACAAGAGAACAATTATTCACCTCATTAAGGAATCACTAAAGAATCTCATTAAATCGTAAGTCCCTTTAGGAGTTTATAAAATTTGTATTTACTTGAAAAATTTTAAGAAACATAATTGTAAAAAAAGAAAGGGGAAAAAAAAGAAAGAGAGAAAACATACAATTTTACAGATAATATTTAAGCATCAATCTTTTTTTTTACATTTTTTTTATTGAGTTGTAGTCATTTTACAATGTTGTGTCAAATTCCAGTGTAGAGCACAATTTTTCAGTTATACATGAACATACATGTATTCATTGTCACATTTTTTTTCACTGTGAGCTACCACAAGATCTTGTATATATTCCCCTGTGCTATACAGTATCATCTTGTTTATCTATTCTGCATATGCCTGACAGTATCTACAAATTTTGAACTCCCAGTCTGTCCCTTCCCACCCCCACACCCTTGGCAACCACAAGTTTGTATTCTATGTCTATGAGTCTGTTTCTGTTTTGTATTTATGTATCATCTTATATAATGTGCCTAAAATATCAACTCCTCAATGAAATTTTTTAATCCCCCCTCCATTGTTGGAATTAGTTTTTTTTTCTTCTTTGTCCCACTGACTTTTGTTTTACCTCTTATAGTGTTTACCACTTTTATCTTAATATCTTTGTTGTTTGTTATAAATGTTTCCTTCCCAGCCAGGTTGAGTTAGGCTAAGCCATGTCATGTTTATTTTTTCTTTCTCTATAATCCATAGTGATGTGTATGAAACATACTAAATGTATAATAAATACTTGCTGACATGAATGTGGGAGTAATCAAGGTACATACTGGAATTTAGACATAGAAATTGAAGGAGCCTAGATCAGGAAAAAAGAATATGTTATAACTGAGGCTGTTTTAACAATTATTTTAGGAATGATTTAAACTAGATCTTTATTCTTTGAACTTGATTTATAAGCCAATAAGCATATTTATGTCAACATTTTGCTTTAGTAAGAAGAAAATCACAGGGCTGGCTATCAATATCCATATGATTCATAATGACATTTTTAATGCCATCTAAATGGAATAAGGGAACATGTTGTTTTGAGTAAATAATTCAATCCAGAAGTGTAAGTAAATAATTGAATAAATAATTGAGCAAAAATTCAGTTCACTGTGTGTGTTTAAAACAGTACCAGGTGCAGAAAATGACAGATAAATTCAAGATCTAGATTCTCCAATCAAGCAATTTACATTCTAGGTAATTAATACTTTTAACATTTATTTTTAGTCAAATTTAAAAATCTGACAAATTTTTGTCAGAAAGAAGCCATTTTCTGACACCTGTGCTAACAATTGTTATTCAGTCTTTTTCTTTAAATTTTGCCAATATGAGAGACATTATAATTACTTTAATATATGCTTTCCTAGTTATTAGTAAAGTTGAGCTTCATCTAATGATTATAGATCTTTACTATTTTAAACTTCGTGATTTGTGTATTCATATTTTGGCTTTTTTCCATTGAATTTTTTATCTTTAAAAGAGGAAGTTCAGATCTGTTAAAGTGTAGTCTATATTTAACCCTTTATTATATTTACTCAGCCTTTTCACTTATCTTTTAAATTGTTTTATAATATATATTGTCATGTAGATATTTTTACTTTAATGCAGGCTAATATGTCTGTCTTGTTTCTTAGAGTTTGCATTTTGTGTCTTATTTTATATGACCTCGAATCGCATACATCAAAATTATATCTCTCAGTTATGTAGTCAACATTATACAGGTTTTAAATAAATGTTTGCATCGTTAGTCTAACTGCAATTTATTTTTATTTTATGAAACTTTAGGGTAGCACTTTGGCTTTACATTTTTCTTTTGATGAAAGTCAGCCAAATATCTCAACACAAGTTAATGTTTTCTCCATTTTTTCTTTTTCTTTTTTAAATTCCAGAACAGGTAAGGAGGACACACGGAATGGACCTATCTGAGAAAAGGGAAAGAATGGTTAGGGATGAAGAAGAAAACAACACAGACTCTTTGGGGGATGAGGGCACAGGAAATTAGCAGGAGATGACACTTGTGCGGTAGCAGGTGTTCCCACTGGGTGAGGCTTGGTTGGTTCCGTCAGGTCCATCTCCCCAATGTGCTGGGGCACTTTAGCCTCATACTATTCGATGAAGACCTAGAAACAAGTCAATCCTTTTCTTTTCTTGGTCTCAGGAGTGGGTGCCTGAGATGATGACATCCCCAATGTAGCAGCAAGAGAACAAGCCTGAGCATTCTGGATCAAAGCACACATGCGGTGGGCATGGCTGGCAGCCAGTGACAGGAAACAAGCCTGCTGCCCTGTGCTCTGCGGTGGACAGTGGTGCCTGCAGGCTGCATGTAGGCCTTGAGCACTTGTTGGGGTGGGTGGCCAAGGCTGTTTCCCTGCATACGGCAGAAAGAATAGACTCGGCTGAGTATATTAAATGAATACATTCCATAAAATTTACAAATATGTCTTTGAGTAAGATCTCTGTAAAAGGGATGAGAGTAGACCAGGATCAAAGAATAAATAAATAAGATGCATTCCACAAATGAAGCTGTAATAACTTCTTTTCATCAATGTAAATACTGCTTATGTTCCCAGTGACATTTGGAATATCTTCTTAAGAGAATAAATTGTTTGCACACCAAAGTAGAATTTTTTTTTCAAAACTGCAGACTACAAAAGATTTCTGATTCACTTATATAACTTGGTTTTTGATGAATTGCTACAATTTAATCTCATATTTTAATTTTTAGTATTCTTTAGAATTGTGTGTAAGAAAGTGCCTAGGAAATTTAAATTTTATTTACTGCATGATAAAAAACTATAGTTTAATAAATTTAGAAATGTTCACTTTGTAGAATTACAGATCCAAAAGAGATTTTTCTTATGGATGTATTATCTCACCAGCCTTAAGTTTAGCACTTGGATTGACTTGAATTCAAAATCCCAAGTCTAAATGAATATAAGTTTATTTTTGTCTTCTTAGATAAAATCTTGAATCATCAAGGTGCCTTCGTTTGAAGTAGCAATAGTTATGCATTCAATTTAGATCCATGAGTGACTTTTAACTTCATCCTTGTTGACGTGAATACCACTGTGAACTGGGACTGGAAGAGAAACGTGTAGCAGAATCCGCTAAGAGAAAACAATCTATAATGCAGCTGGATGTTTGCAAACTGAGTAAGAAAGAAGGATTTAAATGCATCGTCTCCAGCCTTCCTGATATACAAATGGACAAATTGAGGCTCACAAAGATAAAGTGAGTTGCCTGTAAAATATAGCTAATTGGTTGAGATCTGAGACAAGGTCCCAGGCCTCTGCCTTCTAATACTCCAGAATTCTTTCCTGATGTTTACCTATCTGTTTAGATGTAATACAGTCCAAGCTTTGAATCTGAATAATGTTTTATTGATATTCCTTATTATAGACAGTATTTCATATTTTAGGGTTAAGAGTATGAGTTCTAGAGATGGATGGTACAGAGCAAATTCTGTTGTTTCCTAATTGTATGACTCTGGGGTG